TCCAAAATTACAGATACAAGACGCTTCAGACGTACTTCAGACTTTTGAGACTTTGTTATGACTTTTTTATATGCAGCTAGTTAATAAATGCGAATAGCGAAGCTATGTTGAAATACGAAAAAGGGTAACGAGTTGATTTTGAATGATGCATATGTAACATTTTCAAGACTGACGAAGATAAATCTATAAGCAATGAATATTCCCGCTCAAAAGACTCGAGCGAATGTATCTTTGGAAAAAAATAAACAATTTCATGTCATGTCGTGAATACATTGGCGACTGCGTTTCGTTCATGCGACAGCAGTCGTTCCGCTGTGATAGAAAAAAAAATTGTCGCGTGATATGCAACGATATCGATCAGGTGTTTCGTTCGAGAGCCCGTATAATTCGCGTTTCTCTACAGTGGCGAACAGCGTGAATAAAAAAAAGGAAGAAAAAGTAGGAAAAAGATAACGATGGAACGAGATGGAAAATGGGTTGAAATGCCGCCGTAAACATTCGTATAAATAAATGTAAATCTGTCGAGTGCGCGCGTACGAGAGAGAGAGAGAGAGAGAGAGAGAGAGAGAAAGAGTATGTGTGTTTTGTATAAAACGGACGAATAAATGTAAATCTCGCTTTTCGGAAAATGGCATGCTCGAATAAAATCTCCGAACGATATTTCGGTCCTCCAGGTAGGCGAGGGAGAGCGGAATATGGAGGGACGGGAAGAAGGAACGGGCTTAACGATCGGCAGAGTAGTTTTGCACGCGCAGTAATTGATGGTTTTGCCGCACAGAGCAGAGCTGATTACGCTATGATGATAATTAACTGCGTTTATAAGCGCGTTATGGGCGCGCGTGCTGTGACGCGGCTTCATACCTTCCCGGCGCGTTGATTAAAGCTCGAGTGACGCGGCGCAAAAACGATCCTGGCGACTTTTTTTAACAAAATTCTCCGGATATCTCGGTTCAAAAAAATATATTTTATATCTCTTTCAAGGAGCGCAAAGCATTCGATGGAAATGAAAGGGCATTCGTTGATGTTGCGCCAAACTAAGATAAATTATCGTTTATCGTTTATCGATTAATGATACTCTCCTCGTTATCCTTTTCCGTTCCTCGACATAGATTTTACGGAATTCTTGCCTCGTGTTTAGAAATGTAAATAGGATAAGATGCTTAACTACGGAATATAGTTGTCCATCGGGTTAAGAGAATGCCCGTGGAAATTCAAATGCCTAACTCATGAAATGTAAAATAGGAATGCTAAGAAATTCGACTTAAAAAAAGATTCTTAACGGAACGTTTTGGATCTAGCGAAAAACTTTAAAGATACATCTTCACTTTTACGAAATCACTTCTTATTTAACAAAAATAAAGTCGGAGAAAAGTTACGACTCTGACCGATTCTCAATTTGTAACGCTGAGTCTTTCGGCAAATAAGTTGTCCGTGTCTGAAAAATGTATCTCAGCGATAAATCATGATTATAAAAGGGGATATCGTGTGCAAAGAAAAAAAATTTGTCTTGAATCAAGACAAGTATTTTTATATATAAGCAAGAATATTATCTTGCTTAAGAATCTTTTTAGAAAAATTTTCTTGATTTGATTGAATTTATGTTGATGCGAGTATATATATTCTAATATTTAAGCAAGAATATTATAAGCTTCTTAAAAAAAATTTAATTTTGATTGAATATATCCTCATATCAAGTAAAAATATAAATAATCTTCATATAGACGATTTTTAATTTTGAATTGAATAAAAGTAATACTTTCATCAATGTAAATTCAATCAAATCAAGACTAAAATTTTCTAGGAAGATTATAATATTCTTACTTACATATGAGAATATCTGTCCTGATTTAAAACTAATTTTTTTTCTATGCGGGTTGTGTGCCTTTTTTTCTTTTAAACGCTATGGCGAGACAGTGAAGTCGACCGGCGTGATTATTCGCGACGGTTATTACACGTTATTACACGTTGCTCTATTAATTTCTCCGGTTGTCTCCGCAGCAGACGATGATGTCTGAATCGGACACCAGCGTTCCGATTCCAACCGCATGTTGTCGCATACGTAATTCGCGCCTCGTGCACGCCGATGAGTCGCGTTGCACTCCAGCTGTCAACAGCGGGCCTGACGGAGCTGCATAAATAATATCGAGATGCGGATGGCGTCTCCATCGGCTTGCGAAATATCACGCATTGATGGCATCATCTCGTCGATAACTTTGGCGAAGATTTAAGAGAACAGGAAGTAGATGTATAGATAAATCTATACGCATTATTATAATCGGCGAAAACCAAAATAAGACAATTTGCTGTTCGTAAGAATAATATCTCTGTAAAAAAATCTTTAGAGAGACTTCAATTATCATATGATAATTGAAGTGAAATCGAATGAATATAAAAAAAGAGGAAAAATGAACGAGAAATAATGTTACAAGAGGCATAGAGATGATTTATAGCAACAGAGCGAGGAACTAGAAAGAAAATAAAAGATTGAGAGAAGATTGTGTGTGTGTGTATGTGTGTAATAATACAGAGAGAGAAAGAGAGGCGGCACACAACAGAAACTTATTCTGTGGAAAATCCTTCGATGTAAATATATATAGTAATATTTTATAAAATTGATTGAAAATGACAATAAAAGGAAATAATAAATAATAAAGTGATAATAAAAGGAGAAATACAGACTCGCTATGATAGTTATAAGAATTGTGTCGAGAGAATACAGTTCCAGTATCAGTCTTCTTAATTTTGAGGATCAAAAAACATTTCTCTCTTAAAGGTGCTTAAGAACTCGAGGTTCCCGCGGTTAATAAATCCCACAAGTAGGAGTCTTCTAATAAAAATGATTGATAGGTAATTCGAAGGTAATTTCGAACGTACCGACCGATCCGCCCTGGGAGCGACAAGGGTACTTGGTTCTTCCCGGTAAAATCATTGACAGTATTAAAACAATAAAGAAGATAAACGACGAGCGTGGAAACGAGAAAGGACGCGGAAAAGTCTATTTGTGGCCTAAAACTCATTAATAACGGCTGGATACTCGTAATGCTGCGTAATGCGGCTGAAATGAGAAATGAGTAACGGGGTCAGGCGCGCGTGTGGAAGCCGCGAGGAAGTTTCACATTCGCATAATCCTTTCCTAATGACGCGACCGTTTTTAGCTTTAATACGCGCACCGACAGTGATACGGCAGTGATACGGCAGCGAATATCCATTCGGCCGCGTATTTCGTCGCGCGGATTAGCAGACGGCGCTGAAACGTATGTAAAGTCGCGCGTTGTTGTATGCAGGGTACGCGAAAGGGGGACAGACAACCATGCGCCCCAGATTCGCTCCGGACTGGCAGGGAACGGAGAGATATCCCGGATATCCTGCCCTCCTGCTGCATCCAGTTACGCGTGTCCGTGTATCCTTCGATGTCGAGTACCTAAGCAAATAAGTCGTACATTGTGCTCCGCTTTCAACAGGAAAGTCTAAAAATTGCATATCCGTTTCTTCGAGTCTTTGAAAAAAAAAAATTTTTTTTTTTTTAATTTCTTCGTTGTTCTCGCGCGGAAATTATCTCACCGAGAGATGAATAACGTATCTTAGATTTGGTTTTCGATATCTGTCATATTGACGTACGTATCAGTGATTTCGGAACGTGCATGTATACATGGCTTAATGCGAACGTACGGAGTGCATCAGCGCGACACAGGTTCGACGAGGCGAGGCGAGCTTTCGAAATAAATCCTTCCGTACGCGTAAATCACGCGAGCTCTTTTTTTCTCCCGAAACGCCGTTAATATTCCCGGCATTTTCGTGCGACTGTCACGCCGGGCGATCGATCCCGCTGGATTTTTAGACTTTTGTTGACCCGGATTGTTATCGCAAGAAAAATATCCTTATCAATCCGACGAATCGCGTTCACCGTGATCGTGCATGAACGATGAATCTCTAGATAAACGAAAGCCGAGCGCGATCCATCGGCTCACCGGCAATCTTGATCGAGCTTGGCTCGATTCGACAAAAACACTATTTTGCTCCGCGCGTGAATTGAAATTACGTGGCGCGCGCGAAAAGAGCGTCTTTAACAACGCTGTGATGGTATCGATTGCCAGTCACAGTTGGGCGTCTTGGCAAAGAGAGAAAAGTCTGAAAGATCACCGGGAACGATTTTACAAAATTCGGAACGGAAGGTTTCGGGCTTCACTCCGATTCACATAGTGTCTACATCAAGACCGTCTGGATCGATATCGAATTTTTCCGCCGGTCTGTCGACGAGCACCGCACGGAGAATCGGCTTTCTCCGTTCCGAAACGACGACGGGCGTCTTCGCCCATTTCGGGGATCAGCCATCCCGTTCAGGTTTTACGGCATACTTTGGGCCACGGCGCGCTCGGACTCGTCCGAACGACGGCGTGCTCGGGTGTTTCCATCTCGAATAGAAGTTTTTACGCTCCGGGAGCTTATTATCCGCGGAACAGCCGCGGGCGCTCGTATTTCTGGATATAATTTAGCTTGGTCGGGTGTTTCAGCTGCGCGCGGCAGGCTTAATTTCGCACCTACGTGCGCGATCGCGGCCAACGAAAACGGAAATAACTTTGCCCTCGCGTTACGACGGCGGAAGAGAAAGAGGGAGAACGGGAAAATGAACGAGCGCGTTGCTTCTCGTCGGCCATGGCACGGCGTGCTCCGCGGAAAATAATTCAACGCTCTTGTCGTAAAACCGGCATAAATTGGGTGCGGTGTGCACCAGGCGGTATCGATTCCCCGAGGCGAGTGTCAGCGGTGTCTACGTAGTGCTCTGTGTCTACGTAGACTTAGGGAATGCGTCTACCACATTCTCCGACAGTAATTTTCGAATAGACGAATCTTGAATAGGCATACGATCAACGTATGAATTCTATTTTCTAAAAATTGTTTTTTAAATAAGAGTTTAAGTGTGTTAGTAACGTAGATACTTATATATTGCTTATTAATTAAGATTTTTAATTAATCAGAGATTTCTCGTTTATTTTTTTCAGACATCGCGACGCAGCTTCACTGTCATTGGCGTCCTCCACCTGCTCGTCCTGGTCGGTCTTTTCGCCCTCGGCACGGCCGAGGCGCGAACTTTCTGCCCTACCGGCTGCACCTGCGACGACGACACCCTGGTGGTCTCATGTGTGGGCGCTAATCTGGACGTGATACCGATCGCGTTGAATCCCAGCATTCAGCGAATAGTGCTGAAGGAGAATCGCATCAAGATTGTGGACGCGGCAGCTTTCCAGTTCTATGGTGATCTGAAAAACGTCGATCTCTCCAGCAACCACCTGTTTACCATACCCAACGGCAGCTTCGACGCTCAGCGACACCTTGTAGAGTTGCATCTGAAGCACAACAAGATCTCGGCGCTGACCGAGAAGACGTTCCAGGGTCTGAAATCCCTCACGGTACTGAATCTGCGGGACAACTACCTAGAGACGTTGAAGAGCGGCCTGTTCTCCTATCTATCGAAGCTTGAGGAGCTCGATCTGGGCCAGAATCGTATATCGAAGGTGGAGGACGGCGCGTTTGAGAAATTAGGCACTCTTCGGGTGCTATATTTGGACGACAACCAATTACGAACTGTTCCGTCACCAGCTCTAGCGCCCTTAAACGCTCTCGCCGAACTTCACATCGGTTGGAACGCCTTTTCGTCGTTACCGGACGACGCATTCAAAGGTCTCGAGCAACTGGCAGTGCTGGATATTATGAGTGCTGGATTGGACAACATCAGCGACGGAGCGTTTCGCGGCCTGAACGCTCTTCGTACCCTGAAACTGGGTGCCAATAAGCTGCGCGAAGTGCCGACGAAGCAACTGGCGGTATTGCCGCGTCTGGAAGAGCTCACCTTGGGTCAGAACTTCTTTACGATCTTGCGTTCAGGCGCTTTTCAGGGTCTGTTGACGTTGAAGAAACTCGACGTGTCCGGTACCAAGCTGCTTACCACCGTGGAGAAGGGGGCTTTCTCGGACAACGCTAATCTAGAGACTCTGGTATTGAACAGCAATAAACGACTGGCCACTATGGAGGATGGTTCCTTGGCTGGCTTGCCAAATCTGAGGCATTTAATGTTACGCGACAACGCCTTCGTCACGTTCTCGGAGTCACTGGTCGCCTGGAACGAATTACGCCGATTGGATCTCAGCGAGAATCCACTGGTCTGTGACTGTAGTCAACTCTGGCTGGCCGAGATACTCGTCCCGAGGAACTCAAGTCCGGTGATATGCGCCGAGCCGCCGGAATCCAAAGGTAAACCCATCAAGGGTATGACGGCCGATGAGTTAGGTTGCGCCTTTTCGGATCCGCGCAAACAAGCGCTACTGGCAACGGTGTGTGCCGCCGGACTGGCACTTTTCACCGGTCTTGCATTGATCTTGTACTATCGATGTCGCAGACGCGTGCGGGACGCTCTCAAGGATTACAAGTGGAAGAATCGTGCGATATCGCGGAAGGAACATGAATACCAGAAAACCTTTTCCGACGACGAGTACATTGTTCGCTCGGCGCATGCTCATCACCATCACCATCATCATCAGCCGCAATCTCAATCGGTGCCCACGCACCATCATCACCATCACCTGCAACAGTTGCAGCAACAACAACAGCAACAGCAGCAGCAGCACGCACAGATAGCGGCTGGTATCAAGCCGATACCGGTGACGGAACTGTAGCTAGAACTTCGGGCGGCGAGCCCCGGGACCGGTGGGGTCTGGTTTCTGCCTCACGGCAGCACCACCCTCGCCGAGGGCTTCACCTACATCGACGGCGAGACGGCGCGTCAGATGCGCCGCCCGGGGACGCTGCCCGTTGCGAATAACGCGTCCGGTCACCGCGGAGGAGGAAGCGGCGGAGGAGGTGGAGGAAGTGGCGGAGCGGGAGGAGGGGTCAGAGGCGTCGTGGACGATGGTACAGCGTCACTGAGCGCAGCGCCGATCGACGGGGTCACATCTAGTGGCGCGAGATCCCATTATTCCAGTCACTCCCTGCGTCGTACGCCGCATTCGCAGCCGCAGCTTTCCGCCAGAGAGCCGGACGACCGGATGCGGATCCTGGAATCCGGGCTCCAGAACGGAGTCCCAGCCGGTGGTCGCCATCAGTCGTCGCCACCGCCGCTGCCCTCTAGGCATCAACCCAACTGCGGCCAGTCTTCGTATCCCACTATGCCGGTCAACGGCCACGCCGCTCATCACTATCATCATCACACGAGAGAGCGTGAGAAGGACAGGCCGTCCACTCGCGAGAGAAATCGCGAGCGAGACGGCGGTCCCCCGCCGCCGCCGCCACCGCCACCGATAACGTCGCACCGGTCCGACAAGCACAGAGAAGCCCAGTTAGAGATGGAGTTGCGCGACAGCCTCGACATGGGCGTGATCGGCACGTACCGAGCGTAGATGATAAGTCAGACGCGTCGCGTTGCAAATCAGGGAAACGAAAGATGATCTACAATCCAGAAAAAATGCTATTACGCAATCGTGGACTTCTCCGCGTTAATACGGAGGAATACGCAATGATAGTTTAAAGAAAAGATTAAGAAAGAAGCCCAACGGAGATCAATCAGATAAAAGTTCCTTTCATCGCGTAATGCAGAAAAGAATAAAAATCAGAAAAATAGGAAGAAGACTGAAGAAGCGTTAATGAAAAATATCAAGAATCGAGACCAAAAAGACAAGCGTGATCACCATATCACTATGGTATACAGTCTAGTTCGAGACTTTTAATCGTATACGATCGATAAATCAGTAAAAGCCAACGATCAATGACAAGGACATTAACTAGTTTATAATTTTATTTTAATTTCCAAAGGAACAGAACAAATCTAAGTTTTAAGTATTAGATAATAATTTATTCGTAACATCATTAGAAAAAAATTTATTAAGTCCAAGTATTTTCTATTAAACTATGTATAAAATTTAAAATCAAAATATGAACAATTGTTCGCCGACATGTAGAATACTTTTTACATCTGAAATATTTTTCTAAATTTTTATTCTAATTTTTTTTAAAAATACTTTTATCTTTTTTTCACCTATAATGACGCATCAAACAAAGGAAAAAATCAAGAGACCAAGAGACCCTACGTAATCAAAAGATGCGGATAATGCTTCGCGTTAGGTATATCTGTAAAAAAAACGCCACATCTTTCCCGGAATGAGATGGCATTTCGAAAATTATACACCTCGTCTATAATAAAATCTTAAACGGTCCTTAATAAGCCCGACTGCTCGAAGATTAATACCCTCTACGTCACCGTGGGGAGTCGTCTCAGAATTCCGGAGAAAAGAAGACCCAATGGACACGGAATGACTTTCGCCAAGATTTTTATCACGTCCGTCTTATCACTGATGACCGCAAGATCAGCACGATGTCGAGGATGAGTGATGCCAAACGGAAATCCCTCGCGGGTGAATAACTCGAAGGAAGACGGGATTGGTCCACTCCTCCCTCCTTCTTTCTCGAAAACGGCAGATCATCGGTCACGTGGAGCCTGTTGTATTTCACGCAATACAAACACAGAAAAATTCAACGTACGCGATCGACTAGTTGACGATCATGCCGAGTCCGTCGAGCTCGATCAAAAAGTTCGATTAGTGCATCGGTCTGTGCCGAGTCACTCTTCAAAGGAATATCCGAGAGCGAGAGCTTGACGAGTCGGCGCCGAAGACGAAAATCACGATTCGGAGAATGGGAGCGACTCGTTAAGATCTATCGATCGCTATTCGATCATTTTATTCCAGACGTGCGCGCAATACGCGTCACGCGAGAAACGAAACGTGTATCATATGCAAGAAGATTGACCCTACTATAAGCAACGTAGGATTGCAGCTATATAAATATATACATATACAGATATATATATATAAATAAGAAAAAAATAATATATATATATAAATTATATATATATATATATTCTAAACGGTCGAATTATTTTCTAATAAAAACACCAATGTACAGAGGCACGACGGAGACGGTATAGTTGAGCTAGTGTCAACGCGTCCTCGACTATCTTTAACTTTAAGGAATTTTAAATCATCGTCGAGTTTCCGGGTACCTGCCTACCAAGTGGAAAGGAGAGAAGAATAGAGAAAAAAAATGATTGGTGAGCGGGTATCCGTGTGCGATTTGATCTCTCGATCGTCGGGAGATCGCGGGGATGGAGAAACTATCAAAATGTTATCTGATATCGCGGCGCGAATTAGCGACATAAGGACGATCGTTTCTTTGTTTTTTTTTCCTCTGGTCGATATGTAAGTTAAGGGTAAGTTCGCGTTAGGGATTTAACCTTAAGAAGGTTTGCGCTGTTGTTAAGGAACCGCGTAGGTTTCTAACACGCGGGTGTATCGTCCGTTCCCCTCGTTCCAGCGGATGAGTGTCCTTCGGATCGTGAGGTCACGTCGATCTCTCTAGGTGGATATTCAGGGAATTCTCGCGGTGATGCCGTGCAAGGCGAATGCACGTTTAACATATACAGATGGCTTGAAAACTGATCTGAAATACGATATTATAAAAGATACGATTTATTTATGAAATTTTTTCGTTATTATTAAAATTATTATTCCCTCGAATTGTACATCTTTTTAAATTTCGATTCTATTTCTCTCGTATGAGTCGTGTCCATCAATCGCGAGGCGTTATTCATCCCACGAGATGCATCCGGAAAAGAGATCCGTTTTGCTGATGTCGGGTTTGCATCCTCGCGAGAAAAAGACTACATTTAGCATTCTCGTTGCGGTACGGCAAGCCACGGATTTTACACCAGCCAGCTGCCGAAATAGCGTTTTATTTAATCGCGGTATATCAGTATCCGCCACGTGGGTAATTTTCCGGTCACTTTTACTTTCGATATTACACAGGAGGCAATTCTCCCTCCGCGGTGGCGGCAGTGTGCATCGAAAATTCCACGGCCCTGATAAATCGCGGCTACATTAAAATGCACAGGGCGCGGTCGAGTTTAAGTTAGTTCTCCGACCGGTGTAATGGCCGCGGTGGAGAATGCGAGAAAGCGAAGAGGGAAGAGAAAGAGAAGAGAAGAGAACGGAAAACGGGCGGGAGGCGAGGTACGGCGAAGATGTACTTTACGGAACGAGATTATTTTTCCGCCCGAGTGTACCCAGTGGAATTCCACGGTCACCCGGCCTGAGAAAGGTGACTGCACCTTGAATCGACTCCGGCGGCGGCGGCGGCGGCGGCGACGGTGGCGGTGGCGGCGTGATGCAGCCACTCGCTCGCTGCTGGGCGTGGAGAGAGTGGCAGAATTTCAGCTCCGGTAGAATCTGCAACGAGTTCTCGACTGCAACGAGGATTAGGCTTCGAGGCGTTAACTTCGACGACACGGCGGAAATCGGACGGAAATTGAGCACGATTTAGTATTTGCAGAAGACGCGTGTTGATTTGCACTCTCGGGCCATCTCGCGAAATATCGCGATTACTTCCGGCGCGATTGCTTCTTTCGGTAATAACGCGGGGCAGAACTTGCCGAGAGGCAAGAGAGGACAGACGTACGCGCGGCAGACTCAATTCACAAAATTGCACATCGAGCGCGGAATAATGTGTTTGCTGAGAGTTGAAGGAATAAATCTCGCCAAATAAAATATATCGACATGATAGCAGCGATGCTGGGTATCGGACGTGATTTATCGGGGTAAATTACGGATGCATCGAATGGCGAAGAAAGAGACACTGCCGGAGTGAAAGTTACTATCGATAATGGAGTAACGCCGTCGTTCGGTGTCGCCGAAGGAAGATATATTGCGGCTCCATTTTTAGGTATAACCGCGTAGAATTCTCTCTTCTCTACTGTGGGACGCGCGTTTGCACATGTCTCAAGGACACTCATCCTCGCTCGTAAAACCCTTTCCACCCCCCCCCCGTTGATGCCGATTTGGCGTCGGGAATTTTATTATTTGATATGCGACGCGAATTTGTCGAATAAATGTGAGATTTACTACATTCGACTATGTTCCGAGATAGAATTAAATGTGTACATTGTCACTTATCACAATTAATAGATTGGATCCCCGCGAAGGGAGAGCATAAGATATCCTTGTAACAAGTCTCGGTTGCCGAGGATTCACGAGCAACTTTCACACGATCATTGAAATCTTTGAGATTTTTGAATTTTCTCATATCGAAGTACGAGGGTCATCTGAAAAGTTTTGAGCCTCAACATGAAGATGGCCATTACTCATCAAAACTATTCTGGTATTACAATCGTGCATTATATGTTTATTACATGCTTTGAAAGATACTTGTGAAAATTGTAGCCATTTTGGACGCTCAGTTTATTGTTTGACAGTTATTCGTGCCAGTCGATGTCAGTGTTTTTGTAAAAATGAAAAAAATCGAATATCGTGCCGTGATTAAATTCTTGCATTTGAAAGGCAATACGCCTATGCAAATTAAACCCGAGTTAAACGCTGTTTACAGGCATCAGGTTAATCTGCTCCGCATCACTTGTCACCGTGAAAAGATGGGCAGCTGAATTAAAACATGTTTATATACCAGTTTGGCTGATGATGAGTGTTCGGGATGGCCAACAACTGCAATCAGACGACCCTCGCATAATTGAAGTATACGTCGACGATTTTTCCAAATGGTTTGATCGTTTTATAAGCATTCCGTGCTGTAAAAAAAGGCGCTCCAATTATTGTAATATATTAACAATAACCCTGGTGTTCATGAAATATCGTTTCGAGGGAACGGTTCTTAGGGATAAGTTCGATGCAAAGTCAAATCGTATAATCCACATTTTTCCATGAATGAGTAGCGTAAAAGTATCGTTCTGAGAAAAAGATTTGCAACATTATTTCCGCTCAACTTTTGACTGCCATGAAGGAAAGCCAAACATTTTTTATCAATGCACATTGCAATACGATTTCTAATTTTATACCGTGAGAGTTTTCGATATTTTACAGGCACACCTCGACGTACCATAAAATTGATATTGAAGACTGCTTTAAAATTCGCACTGTAAACACCACATTCTGATATTTCGCAAAGTAAAAAAAGTAATGTGAAAAAAGTGATCTCCTTTTTATCTCTAATATAACTTTTTATGAAGATTACGTTTATACAAACACGCAGAAATATTATATTTACACGTACGAAAAATAATAACAATGTAACAATATTGTTATATTCGAGGATCTACTTAATGCATATTCGTGAATAGAATGCGTCAAAGGCGATAACGCTCCAACGTCAAAATATCGACGGAGAAAACAAGCTAAGGATGTATCCAATTTCATAAGTTCGAGAACCAAAATATCCGGAAAAAGTTTATAAATTTTCGATCGTCGTCTCTTTATCTTTGTCGAACTTCGCAAATCGAAGAGCTTCTTCGCGCGACACGCGCGATATAATGCTCGCGTGATTTCGTGCGATAAAGCTTTCTTAAATGATAATTATTTCTTCTGAGATGCTTATTGCTCTATTCATTTCACGCGCGAAATTCTTTGCTTATCTCTAATCTCTAATATTTAATCTCGATGTCAAGTTACGATAATACATGATAATACAAGAAAACATTCTACGTATGTTTTTTACAAATTGTGATTTATTTTTTCTTACATTGTCATTTTAATGGAAAAGATCTTGTTTTCTCTTTTTTGTATTTTACAAAGAGCGTACAAAAATTGATCGCAAGCGCACGAAAATACATTGCAATATGAACTTCCGGCAAATGTTAATTATCGGCACGACGAGTGTTCGGGAAACGACTGAAAATATATATATTTCTCGTGAAAGTTCTCATTAAAGTGACGATAGCGTGTACTTTTGAATAATTATATTTTCATATATTTTGTGTGTGAGTCACGCGACGCATTTCCCATTTAATTTCTGCCAAATTCGTATTGCGATATCGTCGAGAATCACGCATTAACCGCGTACGAATGGCGCCTAAGTTTAGAATCATTGCGTATATTTTCTCACTCGTACAATCGATCTGGGGCTTTCCCCGTGATTTGCGATCCCAGTTAACTACACAGTACCGAGGCGAGCCGTCGGATAAATCTTAAATAAGCGTATTTGTAAAATGCATTGTAAATGTGTCGGGGTTCAAGTATCATAGGTAGTTCCAAGTGGAAGAGATTAAAAAAAGGCCGTCGCGATAGAACGAGATGGCAAAAAAGTGTATATTTTACGATATGACTGTCATACTAAAAATCACTACTGTAACGTTATCGTATCGCTAGTCAGTCGACGCGTTTCGAAACGGGAACAGAAGGAGGCCGAAAAAAGAGAAGCAGCATAGAAAGCGAGGAGCGTTCGAACGATTGAGAAAATTAATCGAGATATTAAATTATTGTACAAAATTGAGCGCCGGTAGTTCGTAAGGCCTATTATATCGTTTTTCCATTTCGTATCGATTGCGTAACGACTTGCGCTTGTAAAATGATACGTACGAGCGAGATGTATGAGAAAAAGAAGCTTAATATTAAACAAAAGAGAGATTTGCGTTTCAAGATCAAGATACCAGAAAGTAGAAAACAAAATCTTTGAGAATAAAACTGAAAATGTCAAAATGAATCGATCAAAGATGCGAGGATGCATTTCCAATATATTGTCTATTTATAATGTCACATATGTTTTATTATATTATTTTTTTACACGTCTCGCTCGTATGTTTCATTCTGACTCGACCCCACCTCCCTCTCCCCCCTCCTTAAATCGGTACCGCGTCCCTTAAAAGACGCGCGCTACCTCTCGTCTCATATCTCTCGTCATAACACACGACTCATCCGAGTTCCTTCTGCCGTTCGAGAGATAAGCTCGAGTTCTGCCATTCGACCGCGAGCTCGCGACGCCGTTATCGGGCGGCGACAGGGTGTCGATTGACGAATTCCGCGTACTTAGCGGCGCGCAATGCAATCTCTCGCCGGAGGTGCCAGTGTGCAAGCACTGGCGCTTATCGGTGTCTCTTGATAAACTTAGTATCAATGCGCGTTCTGTGCCATTGTGATCGCGATTCCCGGATGTAGGTATATGCATAATAAACGGGAAACCTAAAGCCAGGCATAATTGTTAATCCTTTGTAACGTGCGACCCTTTTATTTCATCACAGAGAAATCGGGAGGGATTCTCTCCTCGTGATCTTTTATTTTTTTCTCATATGACTGTGGACGGTAACGGAGATCTCGTTTGCCTTAAAATCTTATGGATGATAAACTAGATTCACGTTTACGTCTAGCGCACGCGTATTCTATTTTGGAAGAATGTAAAAATTATCGTCGTTATAATTTATTATAACGGAAAATTAATTTTTATATAATTTTTCTGCCAAGTACTTTAAATGTGCGCATTCGAAGGGAAAGTAATTTCGCCCATAGAGGATTCGCGAACGGTTAAACGAATTTTCCTTCGTTAATAATACCCCATGTATCGAATTTAAACGACCTAATCTTATATTGTGATATATTATATACATATATATATATATATATATATATAAAGATATATATATAGTTATTTGTAGTTCGGGGCGAAGTGGGACGCACTTGTATGAGAGACAAGCTTGAGTGGAACTGTGAGTTCTCATCGGATGTGAATCACGATGGTATGCACATCTCACGAGAGATCGTATATCATTAAAGTGATATATATTTCGCGCTTCTCCAGGATGGCGGAACTTAAAGCTTTTTCTATCGATCGATATCTTTAGGCGATTGTGTAATTCTTCGGTCTCGTCTCCATGCACTTTAGATTCGGTGGACGATATCATATGAAGGATTCAGATTCGTTCCGAATCGAGATTTGATCGGCGGACGTAGCCGGTCGCACGACACACACACACACACACACACACACACACACACAAGACACACATCTACACGCGTGATCTCACCCACATATATACACAAATGCACTGTACACTGTACATTCGTGTAAAGCATAGCGAAGCCTTATTGAGAAAGCAATATTCATCCTTAAACCGCTTAAAGTATTTTCAAGCTGCTAATCTATCGAGCGATTTCTTCCTACGCTAGATTAAAGGAAAGAAGGAACGTCTCGCGACGAAAGACGGGAAAAGCTCAGCGAACGCAGATCGGTTTCGCGATCGGCGATGGTCGAAACTCACGCGAGAGGACTGTAAGCTGCAATCCCCCCCCCCTATATTCCTAATTGCGGCGATATTCCTCCAAATTATCGCGCACTGGCAGCGTGTGCGGAGCTTGAAAAGCTCTCCTTGATTTTTTGCGCATTTTTCGAAATTACTATATCGGAGCTCGCGAAAGTACGATCATGTTATCGTTCGAAACGAGTTATGGTGTAAATAAAAGAGAAAAAAAAAGGACATTCGCAATTTCGCGGATCGTATACGGCGTTAGAGTTGGATTGGAAGTTTAATTACCCTCTCGCGTTCGCGCGTAAACACGCGCAAAATTTTGTTCGCGTGTTCGCGTAAAAAGCGAACTTCGCGACTGAAAAAGTCTAGAGACGGCCGCGCGTTCACTTAGGACATCTGAGATACATCTTCGCGAAAAATAAGGAAGAAACAAAAAAGACGCGAGTCGAGTAAAACCTAAATTAGATTCTTAAGTCGTCGTCGGTGGATAGGTAGGACTTGCAAAAATATCCACGGGAGATGCGTGGAGAAAGAGTGGTCATCTCTTTAGAACGAAAGCGCCCTTTCTTTCTTTTCTTTTTTTTTTAATTAGCGTGATAGCCGCGATCGGAATTCGCGAGAGAGTTTTTCCGCGACGCGCGTTTCATCTCTCTCTTCCTCTATCTGTCCCTTTTCAGAGAGTGATATCCGCGTGTAAACGTGATTCGCCGTAACGTTCATTAATCGATAGCTGCTCTTCGCGTCCGAGAGCCGGCACTTCCGGCCGCAAACGGGCATAGCGGGACGTTTTTTTTTTTATATATTATTAAACGACCGCGTCGCATTCCAGAGGAGGGAGGGTCACCAGCGTAATCTCCGGGTCGGTAGAGTGGTTATCACTTCGCGCATTCCACATATCGATCACACCAGCTGGAATAGCTACAGTCGCCGACGTCGTTACACGTGGGCAAAAGTAGCACAGTCCCCCCGCGAGTCTCCTCTCTGTAAATACACCCTTTCCAAGTTGCACCCGCGAGGGTGGTAGACGGTCCGCATTCTCGCGCGTTACTCAACGCAAAACGCACGGGATGCGTATTCCTTTTTTATCGAATAATTCGGATTTCTGTGCTTGAGCTTGGTTCTCTTTGGTGAACGAATCGAATTCCATCTCTCGGGCCGCACGCATCGAGCGGAAGACACGTTGAACGCTAATGGCTAAATGACGATATCGCTCGGATTTTCATTTTTAATGTGACCCGAACGAGAATTCATCAGACAGATATCTAAAAGTAAATTTAATTTAATTTGAATGAAAATTAATTTAATGTAATTTGAAATCGTACGCGTGTAACGCGCGGAGAATGCGGAGCGATACGCACACGCACACATATATACATACACAACACGCGTTTTAACGAAATCGCAAATTTCATCGCCTATACTCGATTTTCTCTTCACTTAACGAGAATCCTTTACTAAGGTGTGTATCATAAAGACGAGTACGGCGGACGTGTCACGCCCAGCTGATCTCGCGGCTCTCTTTTCATCCCGCTTCTCCGTGACGGAGCTGATCTGATCGCGATCGGCCTGTGTAAATATTATTTGTCGCATTTACGGGCGAACACGAGGGAAAAGAAAGCGAGCGGGAAAAACGCGCGGCACTCGTATTTTTCGGCATGAAAAGAACGAAGTGAACGTACTCCAACTCGTCGAATCGAGCGGGAAGAGGACTGCACTCTTTCGTGGGAAAGAGAAAGTCCCCGGGCCATAACATAGGTCATTAATAATAATATAATAATAATAGTAATAATATTAATAGGGATATTCCAGCGTTATTTTGTACATAAACAACTTTATCAACGGATATTAAGAAGTCATCAATAAATCTATATATAAAAAAACTGAACATACACTTGAAGATCCTGTTATTATTTTCTTCACCTGTTCCTTGTTTATCGAAATTCTTCAAGTCGGTTGTATTTTGATCGCCAAATTCTGAATATTTTAATAAATAACTTGCTTTATATTGTCTGGAACTCTGCGGGAAATGCGGTTTTAGATTAACAGAACACGCATCATGCTCATTGATAAGCAGCGAATATTTGTTGCTAGAGTTGCCAGAATCAATGTTCGCGTCTGTGTTTGGCGATGCATTTAACGCTAGATATGATCGTCTATATAATTCTGAGTCTCATATATCTAATATGGAAATCGCATTCAAACGTAAACACGGAGGGACTAAGAGACAGTTACATCTGGCATAATGCGGTTGCATTTGCGTGGTACATAGATCACGATGGATCGTAAACATACAATGCAAATCGGACAGTCAGATCTAACATTAAATACGCTCGTTTAACATACGTAATGATGCTCCATTTCCTCAAGGAAATAAAACGTCTGTTCTCATTAACATTGTACCTCGATAATCAAAATTGCAAGATTTCACGTATAAAATTCATTTAAATGACACGATTTATCGCAGATAAAATAATGCTAAATTTTCCGCGCGAATAAATCCGCGTGCAATATAAAAAAGAAACGAGATCCTGCCCCCTACGTTTTGCATAATTTTATTATAGGATCGTCAGGTTCTGGCGCATAGTTGTGTGCGCACGTAGTAATAATTCGCATGGATGAAGCATCCGACATATCTTCAAATACTGACTTTTATTGAAAGAATCCAGTAACACAAGCATATTACATACAATCCTATTATATACAAAAATTATAATTCATCCTGTAACACTTTGGTGTAGTAATTAAAAATCGCATATTCGCGTATAAATAAAATTATAAATATAAAAAAAATGATGCAACATATATCTATACCCATGTAACATTTGTGACATACATCCCATATATGTAAAAAGTAACCGCACGTATCTCCGGAATGTATAGAAAATTAAATTGATTTGATATTTCGGATGCACAAAAAAAATTACATTTTACACGTGATATATTTGAAACGAACTGAATCATACTATTAGTAACATATATAAATAAAAATCATATTTATTATAAGCCCGTTTTCCTCTGTTCTCCTTTTTGCTATTAATAGAAAAATAATGTTACAAATTATATTTATTGGATTTGGTCAACGTTCTAGTACATTAGAGACTTGTCGATGTCTCAAACGGCGATTACGTGGCAAATTACACACCATTTCGCAAACATGTTACACCACAATTGTAATTGTATAGTCACAGTTCTAATAGTTCTTTTATGGGTAACTAATGTTTTTTTGCCATCGCAATGCCCAGACCCAGAATACTTGCGACACCGATAATAACACCTCCCGCGATAGCCATACCCACAAGGCCCTCTGTAAAAAAAATGAAACAAACGAGATTCAATGCCAATTCCAATCACGAAAATTAAGCGGTCTTAATTATCAATTTTAAGGTTAGTCAACGCGGTTAATATCGCGAATGAAATATTATCAATTAGTCTCGATTAATAATAAAAGGAGAATACATGTAACAAACAACATGATGGTATTAAATAGGAATTTTTCATGTCGTCGATATAAATTTTTATTACTTATTGTAGAATATACAGGCGAAATACTAGAGAAATATTAGATGCATTGCAGATTATTAACAAAGCTACAGAATCTATGCTAAAGCTTTTAATCTGTATTAAAGTATGAGAAACTAAATACTCTACCACCACAAAGAAGGAAATTAACGAAAGAAAGTTAATTACAAAAGGAAAAAGTTGAAGATTTTTTAGAGGTCATGGAAGAGATTATATTACAGAGATTGCACTGTGGAAACGTGCATAAGGTTGTTCTTTTTCGAAATTGATGAGTTTTGGATTAGCATGAAATATAAATATGCAAAATCATTAAATGGAATCAATATAAAATTTAGCAATCCAAAATAGCAGAAGTACTACTAGAAGCAACCAGAAATAGTATGAATGTGTAAGGAAATCACAGAAATCCCTTAACGATATTGCTCCTAGACAAATTACAAGCTTTATTCTCTTAAGCCGACAATAAATGATAAAAGGGAAACCTTTTTCCATCTTCTTCCTTATCAACATTTCCACTTCTTGCACTTGCACATTTGCTGGTTCAATTTGAAGAAATGCCCTAATATATGACAGTGCCTTGGAATATTCCTGGAAAAAAGATCAACGATCAAGAGAATCAAGATCACTCTACAGCAAAAATTTGATACATTATGCTGTACATGTCTTACCTTTAATCTAGCATTTCCAATGGCTAAATAATACAGGCAATCACGCTTTTCTGTATCGAAATTGCTGTAGAGATCCTCCAGCAGCAATATGCCTTTCCTAATATCAGCCGAATATTTACTTCTCACAAGGCACCAGGCATATTCGAATTGTGCTTTTTGTGTAACGTATGATGTATGCAACTGGTCATGGTATATTTTTTCGAATTTCTAAAATAAATTGTTACAACATGATGCAACATTCATTTAGATTACATTTTTCGATTAATGCGTCACTCTGATCAATCCGTCTTTCTTGTCGCAAACATTAAATTGAGATGTTTATGCGCGAAATAAAAACGTACAATGTATATAAAAACATATATTCTTTTATAGAGGAAGTGTCACGTCGTACTACGTCATTATCCACTCCGGTGATTCTCGAACATTCTCGAAAATACACCACAGAAATTCTGCGAAAAATAAATCACCTTCATAGGTTTTGAATAATATTTGGAAATTAGGAAAACGATCCAATTTCGAACAAGATATATCGCGTAAATATTAGTAGGTTTGTGGACGTGACCTAACCTCACTTTTTCCCAATACGCGTCATTATCGGGGCTCCTCGAACAAGGCAAGAAACGAGTTAAAAATACGTCGTCAAGACAAACATAATATCGATAACGCGTAGAAAAAATCATCCATCATGAGCGTGTTTACCTTCAAATCTTCAGATGAGACGATATCGGTCAAAACGTCTTCCATTTTTTTCTCTTCCGGATACTTGACACACGTAAGCCAACACTGTGACTTGGGATCCCGCACCACGTTTGTACTTACGAATGACGGTTCCTGAAACGCGCGACCGCAGGTGTAAGTTCGTTAGACGACTTGACGCATCGCCGAGAGGCGGGATACGCGGGGCTTGTTGACGCGATAGATGGCGCAGTTTATGAATCTTCTGAAAGCGAAAATCTACGGAAACGATGCTTTCCATTTAGTGTCACAAGTAAACACAAATATCTATCTTTCTCGACATTCAATAAATAACAAGGACAAAACGATGTCCGTCGTTCTGTCGATTTCCCCATAAAAATTTGTTCATATAAAAATATATATAAATATATATAATTCTATGTGGAAAATGTCTATATGTGTTCATATCAGTTTCTTTTTTTTTTTTGTAAAATTTCTATTTGGTATAAGAAAAAGAATAATAATGATGAGAAGACAAAAAATAATTTTCGTATCTTTTCTTTTACACAAAGTTAAGTTTGAAGATATGAGAAAATAATTGCCTATATGTAATTATATATATTTCTGATTAAAAGCATATAAAAGAAACAATGTGAAAATTATCCTTTTAATTATTTTTTATGTTTTTTTCATTATTGTTATTTTTCCTATATCAAACAGAAATTTTACAAAAGAAACCATGAACATATATGGACAAGTATAATATATAATAATATATATCTATATTATAATATATAATAATATTTATCTATATTTATATATATTTATATATATATATATATATCCTTACAAGATTTTTTACCGGGTTGCATTTGTGTTGCTAAATGGAAAGTACCCAAAAATAAAATATTTCCAAACGCAATCTTTCGATGTCAAACACGCACTTGTCGTTAGAAAATAAAATCGCTTTAATTATAGACTAATTTTAGTTGCACATATTTAACAAAGCTATGACTAGTTATAACGATGATTGTCAGACAGGAAGTCAGAATATTATAACAGAAAATGCCGACTTGTGCCGAGGAGACTTCATCAGAAATATTCGGAGAAACAAAAGGAGTCAGTAATAATAATGATTAATAAGTACGGGTTGTAGTCATTTTTAATAAAAGTCGTGACAAGATAGATTTATTATCTATCCTTTCTGAGTCCATTGAATTAAATCTCTTAAGACAGGATGAACCTAACTTATTTCATTTTGTTACAAATATAACATTTAATTCTATGGTTTCATTAACTTTTATATCAGGTTATACCAGTTACTTCAATTTTAAGTCATTTTCGTCACACAAAGATTTCTATTCAAAATTGTTCTCGGCATTTCTTTTATGTTTTCATCTTGCTTAAACAAATTTATCTTCCATATCATCGAGATATAAATTATCGGGAATGTTTGTTACGGCGACTGTTGCAAAATTGAATGTTTCTTATTTGATACAGACAAGATATCTGAGTACTAATATTTTAGATGCAATACTGTCATTCTTTGATAGTATTGAATAAATGAAGACTCTTAACGGAATAAAACTTTTTTTTTTTAGAACAATGAAGATATAGATTTTTTAAAAATGAAATGTCAAAATGCGACGCCTGCGTACTTCGAGTATCATTTCCCTCACCCCCCCTCCCCCAAGTTTACATGGAAAATCTTGCATTACACATTGTGAATAAAATGGAGAAAGTTATCGCGAATGAATATACGGCCTACGCCAGTTAATTTAATTACGATCCCGACGAGTGATTCGCTTTGTGTCTTTGACAGCGCGCGATACGATCATGAATGTTAATGAGCGCGATATCAATATTAACGCGCGCTTAAATATATGCCCATTACGCCGCAACGTCGGGACTATTAAATACACAAATAGGGGGATTCATAAATTTATGAGACTTTTAGCGTAATAAAATTTATTCACGTAAGCACGACGATACAATGGTTGTGTTTCAGGTACTGACAGGCACAATAGGATATTCCCGCTAAACGTTGGAGAACATTCGGTTCAGTTGTTTAGCCAACGAGTACAGTGGCAGGCCTGTTACGGTATAATAATCCCCATCTATTTTCTCAATTAGGCAAGCCCCTAAGCCCTGTATACCATAGCCTCCTGCTTTATCCCTAAAATAATATTCTGTTTTAGCTAAGAATCAGTTGCAACGATTGTGCAATGCATAATAGCTACACTCACATGGGATCTCCAGTTTTAATGTACTCCCTTATTTGTCTCTCCGATATGTCTCCGAACTTTACTTTGACAGATTCATAAAACTGGATATCAGTTTTTGGTGTTTTCAGACACACACCAGTGTAGACGACATGCTGCTTATTCGCTAGACTAAGAAAGCATTGGATATTACATCTGAGTGTTATGTACAGACTTAATACTGATCTCAGTGAAAGTTATTTACCTAGACAACATTTGGAATGCTTCCGCTTCATTCTTTGGCTTCCCAAAAATGACATCACCCATCGTCACCATGGTGTCCGCGCCTATTATCAAGGATGGCGGTACCGGGTCCGCTTTCAGACGCTCGTATACCTCGAGCACCTTGTACCTGGCGATATCCTGAACGTATTCCCCGTGACCGTCATACTTGGATCTGTCGAGGTTCTCGTCGTAGAGGGACGGCACCACTTCCGCATTAATGCGCTAACGAAATGTTATTCGCGTTAAACGATTGTCTATCTGAGAGCGGTCATCGCGCGTGACGTCCGGGTTCTCCGGTCTATATCTATAGGATACTTAAAAAGAAAAAAGAAAATTCTTCGTACGATTGTTTACCAAGTGCCTGATTATGTCGTGCCGCCTCGGGGAACCGCTGGCCAGGATCGTCCTGCCGTTCGCCAGCGCCTGGATGGTCGACTCCAACATCCTGGAGCGGTTATTGTTGACTCAATGCAAAATTCACGAATCGTGACACACGCGTCTTGTTACACGTGGTGCGAAAAAACGCGGGAACGTAAACATGTTCATGGCATGGCCGACGCCCGTCGGTAAACCTGAACCATTACATGTGCGTTTTTACATCTTGATGATGTCAGCTGTAATCGCAGAGGACGCTGCAGGCGAGAGAGGCGCGCTTGCTCTTTGATGGTTTTGGTCTCTTTCACTTCGTCAATATCACGCAGAATTTTCCTTGCCGGAACTTTGATTAATTTCAAGAGATTTAGATTGTTATTCGTATATTTAAACTTGAGGTATATTTAAGTAATATCTTTATGAAATTGTGTTACAGAAATTTATTGGAGCATTTAAATAAAATTATATATGTATATAAATATATGGAAATTATAAATTTGTTAGGTACATGCTAGTACGTAGTACCTATTTAGGCATTCAATGTCATTGTTTCGAAATTAATTATATTATATAATTAATTAGAAACTAATTTTATATTATTTAATATTAAAAATTCAATTATGTTTATAATTTGTATTAATTATAAATAACATTAATTAAAATTTTTTTTACGTTGACGAAATTATTTCTCATTATAATAAAAATGTTAATGCTAATTTCTTGGTAGTTTTAAATAAAAAAAAAGAAAACAAATGACACTAAATTAAAAAATTTATAAATAATATCTACAAGTGATTGTGTATCTATGATTGTGTGTTTTTGATATATTACTGCCAGTATTAAAAATATGTAAAACATTAAGAATGTTTAAAAATAAGTTAAAAAATCCTAGACAAGATATTTTTGATTTTTTGATATTTGTACCTTAATTTAACCTTAATACTTTTTTAAAGTATTGTTCAATAATAAAGATATTATAAAAGATAAATTAATATTTAATTATCAAAAAAGTATGTGTAAACGGGATAAGTTTCAATTTAATTTAGTCTTCTTTAATCACAATGATTATAAGCAAATATAAAAGTTACGGATATAAAAACACGTTATATTTTAGACGTTGTCAAATTAAGTAGTTATGAAAGCCGTTAACAATATAAATAATAAACGAAAAGTCAGATAAAATATCGAGAAAGAATATTAAATGTCATTATGGATATAAAAGTAAATGTGTATAAAGAGTGTTATGTATGTTCATGTGTCAGATATTACACAACATTCAGTATCCATGTCCATTTCTAAAAAAGGCACACGTTAAGTTAATACTTGAATATATTGAAGTTATTATTGTCGTTTTTCCGCGATGCCAATTGGTTTCTCTTATTGTGCTTACTTCATGAGCGGCTGTCATCGCGATCGTTTTGACAGTTGTGTTAACAAAAGGTTACTAATGTAACAGTATTATATAATGTTTGTTCCTTCTGTTTTAAAAGATAAATAACACGCACAGCGCGCTTAAAGGAATGAAAAAAATTATTAAATAGAAAAATTATTAAATAAAACAGCAGTACTAAGAAATATAAACAAGAATAAACAGAAAGAGAAAATTGAGAAGAACCACAATTGTAAACACTAAACAACTATTTAAAAAATAGAACAATAATTATTTAAAGTTTTAGTAATATAATTGTAATCAATTATTATGGATGTAATACAATTGTAAAGTATATAAATAAGTTATATAATATAATTATATAAGTGGCGTCATTTTATTACATTTCTTATGTATATTTTCTTGTATAGATTTTGATATTTTTTTATTAATAATTTTTCTTTATATTACAATTTATTATAGATTTTTTTCTTATTTTTTATTATAGATATATGTGCAGGATATCCCATTTTAAATAATGCATTTTAATGTCTCTTGAACGATGCATTAAAAAAGTATTAAGGTACAAATGTCAAAAAATCAGTAATTTACGAGATATTTTATATTTTATTCTGGCATATTCAGACATTCTATATATATATATATTATGTTTCATGATAAGAATATATGTATTTAACATAAACATATGCGAAACGTAAAATGAAAAAGATTCGTCTTTGTCCCATGTCTCTACGTTTATTTTTGAAGAAGTTACAGCCTTTTAAATATTCGCAGGTGCGCCCTATT